TCATCTACATTATAATGGTGTCATAATGGTGACAATATTACAATAATCCACAAATAAAAGCTTCTAGTAGATCTACATGTCGACTCACATGCATTGGACTTGTTAATATAGCGACAGTTACTTGGTGATAAACACAATGCTTTTGGAAATAAACGCAACAAATTGTAAGTAGCTTCATGATTTTGGCGGTCAGATAGAGTAACTTCAATAGTATACATTTGTGAAATTTGCCTTCTCCACGTATTTCCTCTAAGATCTTTCAAATAGCCCAAAACAAGAACATAAAACAAAAAACTTTCCACTTTTTTCAGCATCTAAAAAAATATTACAAGAGTAGATTTATATAGCACAAATGGCAATAAACTTACTGTGGATGCAATATCAAAGTGAATAATTTTCGTATCATCTTGTGTCAGATCACTAAGTTTATTTAAAATATTATTGTAAGGAACATCAGGTCCATGAATAGGGATTCTTATTATTGGTATTTCAATATTTAATGAGTTCATCAGCCTTTCTCCTAAACGCTGAATATATAATGACTTTCCATTCCCAGGATTTTTAGATTGAACAATACGGACATAGGAACTAAAGTAAAGCATAAGTCATGAAAATCAGTTGTAACTACATAAGCTTCCAGTTACTTAAATTGATAAATGCAATACATAAAAAAATCTTGAAGGATTATTTAAAATCAGTCAATTAGTTATTTACTGATTGATTACTGTGTAAAAATAACAATAAAATTTCGAAGATTCATGGTAACAAAAGATGCTTATAATACAGGTAGACTAAAATTTATCTGCCAAGAGACTCTCTTAATTGTCATTGAAAACCCAAAACAACAAACAGAACTTGTAAAGACCAGTACAATAATTATATAACAATTAATCATTATAATAATCATAATAGTAAATGTCTATTGGTCTATTGATTGGTGTGTGTACATGTGTGTGCGTGTTATGTGAGTTAATAATAGTTACAATCAACAGATTGTTGTTCATGTACATTTACACATATCAAGTAACCAGCAGTAAATTGATGCCATGCAGTCAATAATTATAAAAAAAGCTTACCAATGTGGATCTACAGAAGATGCTTGTATAGCAGAAGAAATTGTGCCAATACTTGTATGCTTTGGCTTAATAAGGTGATGTAGTAGATATTCTTTTAGAATAGGTCCTGATATATCAGGATTACTCCTTTTATAAGAATGTAATGCAGTAATAAAATGAAGAGAATCTTCATTATTACTACATAACAATACAAGACGATAGCCTACAAACTCATAAAAACTAATTACAAATACTATAATATACGGTAACACCTTTTTTCCCCTGCTTCAATCTGTTGAGTTCTCTCAATGATTCTTCGCATGTAGAATACGATAGTTTTTCACCATGAACTAAGCAAAAAATTCTTTTATGTCCAGGATCAAAAATAGCCCTGCGCCATAACAAAATTACCTATAAAAATGGTTATACTATAAAATAAAAATGTTAAAGTACCTCTTCAGCAGTTGTCTTTTCATTACAAATTAATACTTCTTCTTGAGTTGGAAGAGGCATTTCTTTGTCTTTGGAATAAATCATAAGCACTGTTTGTAGGATTTCAGCTATACAAGTTTATGAAAATTCAAAATCATACACACATAATTAGCTAACCACTTGATGTGACATACAAATTAGGAAATCCAGGATAAAAGTCAATTGCACTTAAGTGCCTATTTTGTGGTATAAGCTCTGTTACAAAAACACTCAAAGTATTCTGACTTCTTTGATAGTCTCACCTATTTTTTG